TCCCTTTTCTGTGTTTAGATACAGAAATATCTACCATTGTGTTACAATTGCCTACAGTGTTCAATACAGTAACATGCTGCACAGATTTTTGCCTAGGAGAAATAAGCTAGACCATCCTATATAATAAAAGGATAATATGCAAATTGACTGAATAGCAAAATGGCCAGTTGCTATGATGTGCACTGGCCATCAGGGGGCAGATGCTCAATGCAGGAGCTGCCCCCTGGTGGTCAGTGCACTTCCATATGGGGAGTGCCACTCAGCCAGAAGCTGGCTCATGGCTGGCCAGTGCAGTGGTGGTGCCAGGAGCCTCTCCTACCTCCGTGGCCACACTAAGAATGTCCAACTAACGGTTTAGGCCCAATCCCTTGGGGGCCTAAGCCTTTAGTCGTACATCCCCCGAGGGCTCTCTGGCTGCCAGAAGGATGTCTGACTGCAAGCTTAGGCCTGATCCCTTGGGGAATGGGCCTAAGTCAACAGGTGGACATCCCCCAAGTGGTCCTGCACTGCAAATGGGCTCAGGGCGGGCTGAGGGACCCCACCCCCCGAGTGCACAAATTTTTGTGCACTGGGCCTCTAGTGTGTGTGTGTGTGTGTGTGTGTGTGTATGTGTGTGTGTGTGTATTTTTTTGTGGTCATTCCATTCCTTGTCAACCTGGTATATAACATTGCAGTGACATTTCTAATACTTGTACATTCATTGCCTGTGTATCCTTATCTACCACTAGATTATAATACACATTTTAAAAATAGTTTATATTACAAGGCAAATATGTATTCAAAGTTTATATGACAATAGTAGGTTCTGTTAGAAACTTAAGAGGGAGCTATTGTGCCTGTCACTTATGACTTAGCATAATATCTACCCCATGGTAGCATTTTAATAAGTGTTTACTAAATTAAAAATGTATTTTTTATCAATAATAACATCATGAGCATACTGAGAGTCAACATAATGAATACTTGTGTCTCTTTGGCTGGAAAAATGTTACTTATTCAATCCTTAGGTGAGTTGAAGTGAAAACATCTTCAAATGACTCAAAATTAATTGTAATAATCTCATAGTCTGGTTGTGCCTCTTCTACACTCATGGAAGAATTGTACTTTCCCTGTCCCTTGGAGAGAAAGTCTCATGAGGGCATGAGACGTTTTGACAATAAAAGATGAATGAAAGTGATTTGTGTCATTTTCAAGTGGTAGCACTAAGAGCTTGAGGGTGATTTACCACATTGATTTCTAAGTTAAATGAACTTTTCTTTTTTTAAAAAATATATTTTATTGATTTGTTTACAGAGAGGAAGGGAGAGGGATAGAGAGTTAGAAACATCAATGAGAAACATAGATTTAGCTGCCTCCTGCACACTCCCTACTGGGGATGTGCCTGCAACCAAGGTACATGCCCTTGACCAGAATCAAACCTGGGACCCTTCAGTCTGCAGGCCAACGCTCAATCCACTGAACCAAACTGGTCAGGGCTAAATGAACTTTTTTATAGAAACCATAAAAATGAGATAATCCATCATTAAGGAATATCATTAAACTGAAAAGATTCAATTATTAGTAAGACTTAGACAAAAAGACTTTTTAGACACAGTTGGCATTTATTAAATTCACAATCACAATTGGACATTACAGACTCTTTATACTTAGACATGGGACTTAGCTGTATTTAAGGTCACAGTAACTTCTTCTTCTAGCTATTAAGTATTATATTTATCTTTTTTAGACTAACCTAAAATTGTTGCCAGATTATAAATGACTACTTCATTATTTATAATATTTCCATTAGCCATCATCTATAACAGTGGTTCTCAACCTTCTGGCCCTTTAAATACAGTTCTTCATGTTGTGACCCAACCATAAAATTATTTTCTTTGCTACTTCATAACTGTAATGTTGCTACTATTATGAATCATAATGTAAATATCTGATATGCAGGATGGTCTTAGGCGACCCCTGTGAAAGGGTCGTTCAACCGCCAAAGGGTCGCGACCCACAGGTTGAGAACCGCTGACCTATAAGCTGTTGCAGTTATTCCTTATATTTACAGTTTTCTTTATAAGAGTTTTCTATCCTTCATTTTGTGTTTGTTTCTTTTCACATAAGAGGGACAGGGAAAAGCATCTCTTATTCAGGATTTTTCTTCAGTTCCATAGTCTTCAACCTTCAATGAGAAATCAATGATCT